TTTTAATATAAAAGAGCTAAAGTAATCGGGCGAATTAAGAACTTTTAATATTACATAATTTATTTTCATTGTTATGTAATTGGTTAAAACAGTTGATTTGCAAAATTTAAATATAAAAAAGTTTCTAAAATAATTAAAAGATATTTTTTTTAAATAATTTGACGTCTAAACATTTTTATACAAAATCTGTTATTAATTGCAATAATTAGTCAATTGTCATAGTTTATTATCCAAAAGTATTATTTGAAACAAAAACTATTGGTGTAAGTAAATTATTTATAATTTGTCTAAATACAAAACAATTCATATTGAAGTCGGTAAATTTTACTTTGGTATATTTAAGTACTATAATAGGCCTGGTGTATTTAATATTTGTGTAGTCATGGCTCCTTATGTTCCTAATCATGAAGACACCAGGGAACGTCCAATCAGAAGAGAGAATGAAATCCTGCGCACATATGTAACAGTCGAATTACCACACGAAGGGAATGGCAATTAGCTATATATTTCAGGTAGTAGGCACTGCTGTGATATCGGTTTCCCTTGCAGTTCTCCAGTGATTTATTTTGATTTACAGATTTTCTGTTCAACTACGTGGATGAAGTAATACATGCTTAATAAACGCCTCGTTAAGCATAAAAATATTAACGTAATAATGAAAATTATGGCTTGAAGTAATGAAAGATAATAGAAATTTATGGTGGTGGAATAACGAAATACAGGATATGGTAGTAATAAGCAAGAATATATAAAAGTACAAAAGAAAGTAAGTGAATACTAATGAAGGAATGAAAGTTTTGAAAGAAAAATTGAACACGCGACAAGTGCTGAATTGTATATACACGCCCTACTAAATTTTAAAATCCCGTGTGACGCTGTAACCTTTGAATATTTCGTACTCTCTTGCTCCCTCTCTTGCTCTCTCTCTCTCTCTCTCTCTCTCTCTTACTCTCTCTCTCTTGCTCTCTCTCTTGCTCTCTCATTTTCTCCGTGGCTCCTTCTTTTACTAGAATTAATATGGTTAACTCTATATCTTTCATTTTTTATTTCCTATAAATTTTATTCCTATTGTGTATTCCGAAATTATCATTAATGTAAAAAATTGCTTTTAGAACCAAAAGAAAATAAAGACAGTGATAAATTATTTAAATGATCATATGCATTTATTTATTACACATCTTTATGAATAGATAGCAATTGATACTTGCATTAAATTAATTTATAACTCTAATTGAAAGTTATTAATCAGCATTTTCAATTTCAATTATATTAATATTAATTTACAATAAATTAGCATTAGCGAAATTTTAATGTTTATAATAATTTGATTAAAATTTTATATAGCACAGAAATCGTATACAAACGAAAGCATGCACAAAGTTATCCTACTTTTGTTTTTATATTAAACATAGAATAAAGAAGAAAATTATAAGTTTATTAATGAAACTTTACGAAAATGCACTATGAGAAATCCCTTAACTACAATTGCAGTATTAATTATATGCAAACTACGTGAATGCAGTCGTTAAAAAGTACATTTCATATAAAAACTTACTTAAAAACAAGATTCAAGCCAGTCTAAAAGTATAAAATTATTTTATTATTCTTATAAGTATTTTTTAATTTTTTAAACCATTTTATATTAAACGATATAAAATGGAAAATTTACTCTAAAATTTATAATGTATGATTTTATTCAAGCACATTAGCAGATATAAGTTTAAATTTAGAATCTTATAGAAAATTTGTTGGTAAATTTGTTTCTCTACCTTATTCGATGTAGGTTATAATGAGTATTAAATAAATTATAAGTTTGTAAAGCTGTATGAAAATATTTGATCATGTATTTTAAAATTATGCTTCTAATAATGAAATTATTATTCATTAGAATTTTATATTAATATTTGAAATATTAAAAAATATTATTCTGTTAGCTTTAAAATGATACAATTGTATTGAAATTAAATATTTTACATTTAAATTATATTTTATCTCGAAATTTTAAAAACACGTGTAAAATACAGCCATAAAATCCATTAATTCATCATAAAATATACAGTGAAACATATTTTTTAGGATAACACGATAGTAGAATGAGAAAACAAAGAAAATTGAATAACATCGAGGTACCTTTAGAAATGGAAATTTCGCAACTACTTATTTCCTTTCGCAATCTTTTCTTTTTTTATTTGTCTCGCATTGACTGTCATCACAATTACTTATAAACTGTTTGCTCACGATATACATTTTTCTTCTCAAATACACTTTGACGATTGTTAAATCAATGTGATCTACTTATTTATGTATTTATTAACATTTAGAACAAATATTGCTCAATATATAATAAGATTACTTAAAATTAAAATTAATATTAATATACGTATAACTCTATAGTCTCAATAAATTCATTGTATTGTAAATAAATAATATCATTGAATACATAATTTGAAAAAAAAATTTTATAATAAAATATATAATAAAAAAAGGATTGTATTGTATTTCCAAGACACTCGTCTTAATTTGGATATCTAACTTAAATGACAGAAATATCGATTATATTATAATAAAAATAATCCGAATTATATGTTACCTTACAAAAAGAAAATAAATCATCTTGATTGATAAAAAGCTTGATATCTATAATAAATATAATTTTCCATATCTAAAATGATTTTGGTTGGTATAAGAACTTCTATTCGCGTCCATGTGGTGCTAAAATAAATAATATCGAATAAAAAAAGTAGTATAATATATTCTGAATAATCGAGGGTAAGAAATAAAAAGAAACTGATTGATAAAAACACTGAAAAACGCATTACATAGCAGAGAAGGAGAGAAAACAAATAGATCTAAAGAATGCAGCCTTCAGGCGAAAAGTGGCAAGTTGGAGTTGTCTGATCATTCGTCTTAATAAAATGCGTCGGATTTCACTTCTAACTAACCGATCTTTTCCAATTTTCCTTTTCTCCGTCAATTTCTTTATATGCCTGTGTATATACGTACACTCGAAAAGACTAAACCAAAGAAATAAATAACCGACAAAAGTGACGGAGAATTAGATAAAAAAAAGATGAAGAAGAGTAGACAAGATATATAAGTAAATAGAGATAGAAACATATATATATATCGATAAAAATAGAAATAATGAAAATAGGGTCATATTTCATTCTTATAATCAATCTAATTTTTTCTTGTCCTTCTATAGAACGTAGCTGTAGTTCGATCATTCTTAATTGCTTTATTCATATTAATACTTAATAACAGGTTAAATAGCTTACATATATCAATATATGCATTTTTATGAACAAATGTAAAAAACTATAAGGCAATTTGTTATTCTGATTCTGAATAAAGTATGTGCACTAATGATTTAATTCACTTTTTCTACATTTAATCGACAGGAATCGCTCTTACACTTTTTATTTTCTACTTTACTTTCACTGAGCACTAGGAGCTTTTTATCTTTTCGATTTTAATGAAAATATATGTATATATACATTAAATGATCAGATAGTATATATTACTATTAAAACGAAACAAAAAACTACGGAAAGATGAAAAAATTAAAAAGTTACTGAAAAAATCATAAAGCAAATTTTTATCAAATTATGCTATAACGATTAATTAAACTGTATTAAAAAATATTGAGAGTAGTTTTGATTGACATTTGGAAAAATTGATAAACGTCTATTGCATTTCATTAAACAATAGCAGTCACTTGTTAAATACTATTTGAATATTTATGAATTTAAATTATTGTAGTTCTAAATTTATTTTTATTTCAATTATTAAATATTGACAAATAATTTAGTGCATTATGATTTACCAAATTTCAAAATATAATTTATTATTTTATTTTATTATTTTGTTTTATTATTTATTTTATTTTATTTTATAAGAAGCTCGAAATATTTGGTTTCATAAAATTTTAATATATCTCAATAATTTTATTGTATTTTACATATGCTAATTTTTATACAATGTTATATGATTATTGTTTATAAGATTGTTAATTATCCGACTTTAATTTTTGATCTACATACAAACAATTGTTACATAAAATTTGAAAATTTTTATACAGGTCAATGTCAATTCGTAAATGAAACGTAAATTCATTCCTGTTAATTTTTAAATACATACTATATTTATATTTTATTCACTAGGCATGAAATAATTCTTATTTTCTTCAAATATTTAAATTCACTAATATTAGTAAAATATTTTTTGCCATGTAATTGCTGTCGATTGATTATTCTCGATCAATTTTCACATTTTAATAAAAATTAATCGGACTTTTAAAATTTTTAGTCAATAATTAAAAACACCATTTTTTAACATTATTAATTCAATTTAAGAAGATCCATTTTCAATATTACGGAGAATCTTTTTTTATCAAATATTTCAACGAACAAAAAATAATATTATCTTATGATTTTTAAATTTTATTTGATCAAATTCAATTGATGTTGAAAAAAAATTTGAAAAAAATAAATTGTACAAATTACAAACGTGCTTTGAAAATAGAATTATTTGAACTATAACACTATTTATTATAATAATAAATTTACAGACGGATATGATAATTTAATAACAGTAACATAATAAATCATAAATACAACGTTAATTTATAATAATTAATTAAACACAAATAAAGCAGTTGATATAACTTAACAAAATATCCATAGAAACCGAATAAATTAATTTATTTGCGCGATACATATTATTATTAATAGTTTTATGAAATTCATGAGCAGACGTTATTCATCTTAAAAAGTTCCTTCTAATGCACTAAAGTGAAACAAATGAATAATTTTTAGAGAATTGAGAAAATTCGAGAAAATATTACGCTATTTACTGTTAAATTTGCTGTTAAAATTTTCACAATGCTAACCCACCCTCAGAGTCTCATTTTTTAATACGACTAATGGCAATAAGCGTATAAAACCAAAATAACTCCGGCTGAACGCAACAGCTAATATACCACTTTTTTGTGGTTTCAGTGTCCAATACTTCGTCACTGACAAATAATGAGGGAAGTGTCCAGCAGTCGTCGAAAGTGATCCTTACCAGCACATGCCATCATGCTTACTCCGCCTGCAAGTGAGTCTTTTTTCTAATTCTTCACTCGTACTTGCACACACCATTACCCTAAAGTGCTTCTTCCTACGGGCCGGTTCGGCCAGTACCCTATTGATTTTATTGTCTTCTGCTCCTCCACTATTTTAACTTCCATTAAATTTTTTATATTTCTTGCCGTCTTTTCATCCTTTCTTCATGTTTCATGCTTCTTTTATATTACAAAATGTTTAACGATAGAAAAGTTGCATATACGGATTTTAAAGATTGCTAGAAAGATTAACGGTGATTGTTGCGCTCTATAGCATACAATAGAATAATATTGTACAAAAACGATAGTTAGCTGTAAAATGATCGCTATTGTTTATAATTTAAGGTTTATCGTTTTATCATTTTATACTTTTAGCATTTAGTCATGAATTTTTAATACTTGAAGTTCGGAAATCATAAATCTTTAATGTAGATTCTTCATAAATATATACATATATATATTATTTATTAAATTCGATTGTATTTTCAATTTAATAATGTATCCTGAATAATTTATTATTGTTGAATAATTATATTTTTTATAAACACTATAATATTATGTAGCTTCTATCAATGCTTTTTGAATACTATAAATATATTATCACAATGAATATTATCACAATTAAAATGAATAATTATATATCAAATTATTCTAATTGAAGCCTAATTTAAATTGAAGAAAATATTTACATATATATATATATATATATATATATATATATATATTTATTTATTTATATAATAAATGTATGTATGAAAAACTATTATCCCTTACATAGAAATGATCCTGAATGTAAGGATTTACTGCAATCTGTGCTGAACTACTGCGACCACTCGAAGTGCGCCCGCAATGAATGTATGACATCTCTTCAGTACTTCTACAAAATGGCCAACCACAAGTATTCGATAGATATAGCTTTCTGTTTATGCAGGTGAGTAATTCTGAAAAAAAGATATCCCTGAACGTAATGAGAGAAATAATATATTTACTTGCAACAGTCATTCCATATAATCAATTAAATATTAACGATATAATTGTTCTCCGTATTATACGAAGGAATGAGCTTAAATTGAATTTTAGTCAAATATAGCTAATTAATTCTACTATATTTATTATAATGTTATTAAAGATATTTAATTAATAAACAAAATTCACCACATGCCTAAAAGTTTTAAGTTGTACCGAATTCTGATGTTATTGAGAAAAAGGTTTACCTAGTATCATTCAAGCAATGTTGCAATTCGCAAAGCAGACTGACATGAAATCACTCCTTTATAGGTAAAACCGAAGCTGGAAAATTTTGTGACACTCCTCCGTGCGACAAACCGGAGCGTTCCCACGACTCACGCGTCATTCCTTGCCGTGAATTCCCATATGAGACGATTAACTAGAAATGAGCTTTGCCCTATTGTCATCTTATTCACACTACTGTTAAGGAGAAGACACTTATCTGACATTCTTTGTAGGCCTCCATCTGTTCGTTTAAACTATTTGAATAGACGAATAGTGGAGTACGCCAGATAGTTGTATTCTAAAAATTACAAGCTTCCTGAATTGAATTTTTTCTAAAATTTAAAACGAAAATTAATTTAAATATAAATTCGAATCATATTTTTGAATAACAAATATTTTTTATGTTCTAAACAAAATAAAATTCCAATTGCTTGTTTAAATATAATCATGACAAATTTGATTCAACACATTTTACTCAAAATTATAACAATAGACATTTGCCTTAAAGCACTTTTTATTTGACTACAAATCATTTGTGAAGTTGTATAATATTTTATTGGAATTTTATCTTATAACATTAATATTATTAACAATTTAATTGATTAGGTGGAATAATTAATATACAAATTAATTAAAATTACTTAATAGAAAGCAAATATTTTTCCGAATTTTAATCCGAATATTCGGTTCCGATTAAGTAATGACCCCGAAGATGAAATAACTGCACCGAAAAAATGCATAATAATCATTGTTAAACGAGTTTTCAGAATACAATTTTAAAGGAACCGTTAGTAATCTTTTTTAAATTGGCCACATATAAATAAAAAATTTATTAAATTATTTACAATAAACAAATTTAATAAATGAATAAAAGACTTAAGATAAGATCTTGATATAATAAACTATTTCAGGCAAAATTTAATATTCTACATTCTAATTTTAAAATATTAATTAACCACGAACGTTAAGTACTTTGTTTGTCGGCGTCATATTATAATGGATTTTTCAAATTATTAGTTATTCAATACTCAATATTAAAATTATAAATTCAAATAGCTATTAGCTATTATCTACGACACATCTACGATTATTTAAATTCAAGCTTTTCTGACAATATATAATTCTTGTCGTAATAATCCAACCGTTCGTAGCTTTTATTAGTACACTTTTTAAAGAAGTTGCTTATTAAGTGATAATTACATTAATGTAACGACCACTCATCTATATTTATCGTCTCAAAATAAATGTTAACGATTGTCGAAAACGTAGAAATATTTTTAACATATGAGAGAGTACTAAGCTGGAAATAACTTGTCTCTCCTAGCATTCTTGTCATTCTTCTCATTCTCATAGGCCACTTTTCAATGAAGAATTCAATAGTTGACTTCACACTTTCGATGTCTTTTGTTAGATTATTCTAAAAAAAGTTTTTCTTAAAGTATATTCAATTTAGGAAATACAAACAAAAATCCAAAAACCACATTTTTCTAATTTTCTATATAATTATAATCTAAATAAATAATTTTCTAATTAATATTATTTTTAAAATACAAGCATTTACTATTTTACATTTGTATAACGTGATAAGGGAAGCATTGTTTCTGGTATGAAATGATTATAAAATAATTATTTTTCATAATTATAATATTAGAAATTGACACAAATCCTATTATTATTCTGAATATTTTTCTTATATTTGAGAATTTACACTATACTTAATAGAAATTTTGTTGCGATTTCATTTCTATCGATTATTCGGTAATCGATAAAGTCATATTCATAGTCATGTAAATAAGAGTTTATTCTTATTATAATATACAGTTTAGTAGTATAACTTCTATTCGTAAATTTCAAATAAATATTATTGTAATACTTGTGAAAGCATTAATTAATTTTATTCTGAAAATTTTTGATAATTTGAATAAAATTAAGGATCTTTAGACACCTAATACTAAATTATATAATTGTAAAATTGTAATTTCTACTTTTATAAAAAAAATAGATACTTTCAAATTAAACATTTTTATCATAATTATATAATATAATCCTTATTTTCTTCATGTGATTTTATGTATGTATTAATTAATTTGAAACTTTTTATTACAAATATTTTAGTAAATTTTGGTTAAAATGAATAATTTTATTAAATTAAAAAATGGTTTTCTTATTTCTTGTTCGAGTAACTTGCAGCACTAATAATTAATAACAATTTTACTAGAAGATTTTATAAATTTAATAATTTAACATAGCACATTATGACAGGTTAAGTAAAACATGTTTATCAACATAAAAATATCAAAGTGCATAATTCATTATTCATATTGAATTGCATTCTTTATCCTTGTTTATTTTAAAATTTATTATAAAATTATTCGACTAAATAGACAAAAAGGATCTAAAAATCTTTAAATTTTAAGTTTTGTTCGTAAATCATTCTATTAACAATAAATTCTTTTTATTCACAACTCCTATATTTTTGCAAAAATTTGAATTCCAAATATAGTTTTACTTTATCCAATTTTAATTTACCAAAATTTCTTAGTATTAGCATTTAATCAATAAAAATAAAAATAAGGATACTGAATTAGTCCAAAAATATTTTTTATTTATGTCAAAAGGAATTCACATTTAAAAATAATAAATATTTCGAAACAATTTGTGAATTTTCAAATAATCTGAATTTTTATAGTATATTATAGATATATATTATAGATATTAATATATATTTTAAACTTTTATAGAGTTTGTTGTTTTGAAAAAAAAGTAATTATTTTTATATATACACAAATGCATACTGAGATATAAATTATCCACGACGTATTACAATTTTCACTCAGAATAGAAGTGTATAGAAAAATATTAGAATAGATTAATCAATAATCAATAATAATTGTCTAATAAAAAATCTCTTTCGATACTTTTTTAGAAAATCTGTGCTTAAGCGGGATGAGTGTATGTTAGCTCAAGCAAAAATACATCCAGTTTGTGCACAACGTTTCCCACTTGGATTGGAGACACCAAGCTGTGACGCACTGGCAGAAAATTGTCGTGAAGATGCCGCCTGCAGGTGAACTCTTGCACTCTTTATATTGATTTCATGAATGGCAGAGCATATTTATTTATATACATAAAAAAATATATATTAAAATTTTTGAGTAAAAGTTTGGCAACAAATTATTTTGAAAACAATCCGAAGGATCATATGATTTTCGTTGCATGACATACTCAACGTGAACGATTTTTTACTTACTATTATTTTCTAATTAGTCTTAATTATATTATATATAATTATATTTCATCACTACAATATATACAAAGAACGATCTACGAAAATACTAATTTTTTTGCACATTCTTTTTATAAAAATTCGAAGGTATTATAATATAATTTATAATTATATGACAATTACATAGATTATTTTATTTATTTTATCTTGCTGTACGATGCATTTATGTCATATATTCAATTGTTTGTGTATATAAATTTAATGTTATTTTAAAAGAAAACAAAGCTGAAATATTTAGTCTAAAATATTAAATCAATTTCATCATTTTTATTACGCAGATATTACTATGCCGTAATTATAAAATATGCAATTAAATTGTAAATTTTCGAGTAACTAGCGAGTAATTAATTGTTTTGTTACAATACAGATTTACAATTCAGTTATTGCTTTTTATTAACTTTTAACATTCATCACCGAGTATTATTGAGAAATTTGTTTTACCTTTATTAGCTGTAATCTGTAAATGTATATACATAATATGTGAAAATTTCATATAGACATATTAATCATTCTGTATAAGAATTATGAAGGATATAAAAATTCTAAAGGATTTGATTTTTTTCGAAATTTTGTGAATGTGGATTTTTGTTAAAGGAAAGAAATTTTTTTAATATAAGAAGAAACGATGAAGGATTCCAAAAAGTGAAACGGAGAATGAGCAAAAAGATTGAGACCAAGAAAGTGCATGAAATATGCGCGAATAAATTTTTCTCGCCCGTCCATGCATGCCAATGATTAGTATTAGTTGAGTAATTTAAATTTCGAATTCTTCATATATTTTCGACTACCTTTTGCTTGTTTTTTACGAAATTTTTAATTTTCATTAAACTTTTAATATGAATGTATTGCATTTAGAAAACTTGATGGAAATACAAAATTTTAATTATTTCAATTATGTTTCAATAAGGCATAACTCTAAAATTGAAATCATATTTGAATTATCATATATTTCATTTTTAAAGAATTATTTCGATTAATATCTTCTTTATTAATTTTTTTTTTTTTTTAGAATGCTTTATTACAATTCTCTCTCTCTCTCTCTCTCTCTCTTTCCCTTTCTCTATCTATCTAACTATCTCTGTATATATGTATATGCGAATAGTGAATAGATATATTTAAGCTCGAGTGATGTATATTATGAAGAATAAATATTTTGAAAAATCTGTAAATTCCATGTTCGTTTTGATTAACTAAGTCATTTCCATGATGGTAAGGCTCTAGATCGACTAGACTCTCATCGAGTCCATCCTCGCTTAAAACAAAAAAGCATAGCAAACTAATTAATGATACCACTCATCTTCTTGGAACTAATATAAAAATAATTGCTTGTGTGAAGGGCGAAGCTGGAGCATTACGAGCAGAATTGCTCAGTGGATAGCGTGACGAAGAAGTGTGCGGGTCCGCCTCAGAGCTGCCGAACGGCTGTGCTGGGGATCCTGGGCACGGAGCTCCGTTCCAACTGCATCTGTAAAGGCGCGGACGTGTCGCCGCTTTACGAATGTCTCGGATGGCAGCGTCTTCTTTGGGTCAACCTCTGCGTTGGTAAGCATTTTCACTAATGGGCAACAATTATTGCTTGAGGATGTATATCTATCTGAATGGAGTTTGTCCTAGTCCCGTATTTAGAAGATCCGGTCTTTTTAAATTGAAATAATAATTAACATGCAACATATAGATTTTCGAAGATTTTTCTCACTTTAAAAAATAGCTTATTAATCAAATAGATCATAAACTTATTTTGCATGTCATCTGAAAAATTTGAATTGGGTTACCAAATTATTACTTTGATTTTTGCGTGGGTCCATCTATCCGTCGATACAATGTGTAAATTGTTTTACTTTTATCGATATATACATATATATTTATTTATTTAATATGTTTATTGGATGTTTAAATTAATAATTTACGAAGTATCTTGGGATTTAAGAAGATTATTCGCAATTGCAATAATTTAGTAGAAATATCTTTTAGAAATAACTTGAATCTTCAGTTCACTTACCGCGATATTTTAAATTTAGTTCATTCGGTTATAATATTAGTATATGCGTAATTGGTTTATTCGAATTTATATATCTTGGTTTGAACTAAATCTAATCTATTTAAATTAGCATTACAAGCTCGACAAAAGCCCGATTAAGCAGTAATCGAGTCAAATCCAAGTTTGATTTCTACTTTACGTAAAAATACTTAGTATATTTAAAGTATTATAACATAATTGATAGAGAAATATTACTCTAAATAATTAATTATATTAAATTATTTTCATCAGATTTAATGTCTAAATCTAAGTAAATTTTTCTACGTAATATTGATTTGAAATTATTATATATTTTTAATTATAAACTGAAGAAAAATAAATTCGAGAATGGAACAAATTTTGATTCGAGATTTTTAAATGACCCGCCATAATCTCCAGTCAATATTCATCTATTCCAATGTGAATACATATTGATGCGAACATTAGGGCAAGCAAATTCCCTTATAAACTTATAAAAAACAAAAAAAGTAAAATACTACGAGCAATTCGATATCGGTAAAAAAGAAAATTAACTAATCATTGACTAAGCTCGTGCAATTTCGGTAGTCGTTGAAAGAAAAGCAATAGTAGCAATAGTATTCGAAATCTGAGATTCTGAATACAAATTTCTGTGTGAGCGAATTCAAAGAATTTATACAATATTATCCTCGCTTGTCGTCCCTGCTCTCGTTATTTCCTTGTCCTTTACACTTTTCCGTTCCAAAACTGGTTTGCTCGAAAGCTCAGCAAAGTATATAAGGGCAGCAGACTTGCTTTACTCGAGTGTATCGAAGCGTAATGTGGACGCTCGTAAAGTGGTAAACATCGAAGTGTATCTGTGAAGTGCCAGTAAAGTCGCGTGTAGGTGCGCAACGCAACCCGATAAACTCTCTCTCTCTCTCTCTCTCTCTCTCTCTCTCTCTCTCTCTCTCTCTCTCTCTCTCTCTCTCTCTCTCTCTCTCTCTCTCTCTCTCTCTCTCTCTCTCTCTCTCTCTCTCTCTCTCTCTCTCTCTCTCTCTCTCTCTCTCTCTCTCTCTCTCTCTCTCTCTCTCTATCTCTCTATCTATCTATTTATCTATCTATCTATCTATCTATCTATCTATCCATCTATCTTACCTCCATTTACTTTACTCACTGCTTTCTTATCTATCTATCCATCTCTTATCATTTGCCGTCTCTTTATCCACCTTTCTCTTATACGTAATCTCGTGGGCTTACCTCGTCTTCGTTACCGATGTTTTATTTTGCTTTTTTTCTGTCTTTATTTCAAGACCAATCCGGGCACTAAGTTTCAGGGCATTTGCGTTTGAAGTGCAGGTTAAGCATGGCTCCAAATTAGTATGTTTTATTTTAATAAAATAACGTATTTTATACAACTTCTCGACTGAGTACACGTAAACATTTATTTGATCCATCATTAAAATGCACTTCTGCTGTATTATTCTACAAAGGAAATAAAAATACGTATAACTTATTTAGTTTTACGAAAATCTATTTGGAACACGAAGTTAATTAATTTTGTTGAAAAGGTATAAAAATAGTAACGGTTAATTTATATATAATAAATTCATACATATACTATTATTTTTCTACGTAAAGTCATAACTGTACAATATAACTATCTAGAATAACATTTATTTTATAATTCATTCATTTTAAATAGTTGATATGGTCACTTTTATCCATAATTAATTGTCATCAACAGAGTATGTTAAAATAAATATTGTATAATAAATAATAATAACGTTGTATTTCATGATAATAATAACAGATGTTCTATAAATTGTGCAATATTTTATTTCTATAAAAAACAAAAATAACAAAAAATTATTAAAAAAATCTTTAATGCAAAATTTGATCAGATATTTATAATTAATCACGCATAAATGATTTAAATAGGAAAAGAATGACAGACTAAGAGAATACTCGTCGTCGATATGTACTCGTACAGCCTAAAATAATTCTTTCAACTCACCTACGTTTCCTTTAATCACAAAAAGGTTTGCACACAAAGCTGTTTTGAAAGCTCTTTCGGAAAATTAAAAAAATTCTTTCTCAAATCTCTCTCATCCATGCAGGAAAGCAGAGTGAATTGTGAGAGAGAGAATTGTAAGTGAGAGGGGGAGCGAAGAGAAGAAAAATAGTTGCTATTTTCCAACTGAAAAGTTGAAATGAGTTCAGTACGCGGCCGATCGGTTTAACTGTGTCGAAAGTTACGGAGTCCAGTAAAATAGGAAAATAAAAAATCGAAAGAGGTTGTCAGTGAGTAAATGAAAAAAAAAGTAAGGCAAAATGAAGAAGATAGCGTAAAAGAACATCAGGATGTGATGGGGTTGCGGATCGGAACGGGACGGAGAGATTAAGCGGAAGTGAAAGAAGTACCTAGTAGACCTTTTATCGATCGTCCAGCTCGTAAAGCAAATTCTCCAAGCATATGACGCTCTGAAAGCCGCGAAACGTCGACAGTCAGAGGGTAGCGATAAATCATTTAGATACCAAGGAATAGCAAGTGAAAGACCGGGGTTGGCGTATAACCTATAAAATAGGCAACAATCTCGTAGAAGATACACAGCTTCACAGGAAACATCTTCTTGTCGTATTTCAGAAAGTGACTAGATAACAAGGAAAGAAAGAAACAGATGCTAACGCGAGTATCGTTACCTGGTGATACCACATAGGTTTCGTTGTTGACCTAAATATGTCGCGATATTGAAAGCTAAGTATATTGAGAGATTCGAAAGAGCATTCTGTCTTTTATCAAATAGCTTTCATTCTTTTCATTACAATACTTTTTAAATCTTCATTTCCAGTAAATACAGATGTTAAAGCCACCTTTTAATATTGGACGATGAAAAAATACTTATCTAGAATACTATAATTTTTCAGATTTGAATATCAATATTTATAAAGAGATATCTTTTCATATTTCCATATTACGAAAATGTACATACTAAATTTATTATTTAATATATTTTATAATGATTGACATATTATATAATGGAAATCAATAATGGAAACTTTATAATAATAATTAATAATTAATAACTAATTTGAAAGTTACTTTTATATTGTAATTAGAACATTAAAGTTTAATAACAATTTTACTGTAATTTAAATTTTTAAGGTTTTCAAATATTTAATGTTCACATTTCTAAATGTATTATATATATATATATATATATATATATATATATAATTTTCTATCTCTTGATTGGTATTTAAGTTGTCCATATAATAGTTAAAAGTTAAAAGTGCATCAAAAAATACACTCGTACATGTTTACAAATAAATGATACAATAAACCGAATACAATATATTTAATAAAAGCAGATATTTTATATTTTGCGGTATCGTAGAAAATAGTCATAATAAAAGTTTGTTATAATCTGTAGCTATAAATAATGTTTCATTTTTACAGCAGCACAAGCTATATTCTTTTTTCACGACAGGTAAAATATATAAAAACTATATGCTCTTTTTTCTTCAAAAGATATCTGATTTTTACATGAAACTAACTGTATTGTACAGTTTTATACCAATTCATGGAATGAAAATTGTTTAAACAAAATGTATTTAAAGCCAAAAGATCGTAATGTACTTTGTTTTATAAGCAATTCTTATTACTATTGTATTTTACCATTTTTATATGTCCACTACGATAATATAAAATAAAATCATTTAATATATTGCTTTCTAGAAGTTGCGCTTTCTATAACTAAAATTTTACGATACGTACGTATGATGATGTACAATTTATCTTGTTTGCTATATAGTACATTTTTATTGCAGAAAATATACAGTAACGATTTACAAATAAAAAATCAGTACATAAATTAATGTTCCTTTCTTTTATTATAGTTATATTTGTTACAAAATTTTACCTTAAAAATTTGTTAAATCCTAAAATGAATTTTAAAACTTTTTATAGATTCAACTTTCCAATATCGATTTCTATTTCAGTATAATAAAGCCAATATAACTATTCAATTTTTTACATATACTGACAAAATCACAATTTATTCTGAACCAGTCATCCTATATTGTAATAAGTTATCAATTTCTTTTCTATATATCACGACATACGCAGAATAGATATATGCATGTCTTTAAAATTGCTAATAAATTTAATTAAAAAATGTTATTTGAATTACATCTATTTGAATAAAATACTTAAATGAAAGTAGGATGAATAGAATAATTACTTAATACATTAAATAAAACGTATTTGAAACAATTATAAAAACCAGGCTTCGTCAATTTCAAAGTTCAAACTCAAAATATTAAAGAATTTGATCAAGTTTAGAAATGTGAAATTTTACAGGGCTATGGATATTGTCACTAGAACATTTTGTTTCAAGGCACGGATGAAACAAGAATAGGACATTTTATTCATTAATTATCATCGTAAACGTTCCTTTTGCAGTAGAGGCACAAAAGGACTTCCATGCACGTCGTAATAAGCATCACGGTAACGACCAAACGACAGTCACGTCGATGATTTTGACGCAGCCGACATCGATGAGACAACCATTAGCAGAAATAGCGACACCTAGAGCCTCCCTCGTAGCAGCAACGAGCACCGAATTAATTGAGGTCGAGGAGCTTGTGTCCGAGGAAGTGGAGCAACTCGAGGATAACATAATACCGGACGTAACACTAAGGGAAACGGGGCAATCGAGTATCGGAGACACGACGACGAAGACGATTTCGGGTCCGAGCCCCCTACCAAGTACGACGAGCTCCAGCCCATCCACGATATCCACTACTACTATTATGAGTACACCACCACCACGTAAGACGCCTCTGATTTTTTATCGTGTATCATATCGTTAAAGTACCATATTGAATTATGGTTTAAGCGATGAAGTAAAAAATTACGCGATGTTTGGAAATAGTGATTTGCAAAAGATATCACGTGAGATTTTCCTTACATTCATTTGTAATATCACGTGATTAAATTGTGATTACTCTGCGTGGTAACTCGACCTAAATAGTCACGTCAAAATCATAATAAGGAAAGTTATGTTAGATTTTTCGGAAATCCTAAATATATTTTATTCATTATTTTATTAATTCTACGTATTAAAATACAATATATTTCATTTTTGCACAAAAAATGATATTCGATAAGATCAATTGAAATATTACATTTGAAACGTTAAATGATCGGGAAAGTATTAATTTCGAATAGAGTCAATTATAAGTTATATAACGCGTGTTTATACAATATTAAGAAATATTTATAGCCTAGTTTTTAAAGTTTTTAAAATAAAATATTAAAATTTTAGAAAATTTAATTTATATAGAAATTGTACTTTATTGTAACAAATCACTTTAATGATTTATTACCTAAAATAAAATACACCAATATATTTCATTTTATGACATTTTTATATGTACTTGGCAATTCGACATTTTCGTCAAAAATTAAAATTTCCAAATTAAAAATAAAAAGAGCACGAAGAATATTTGATGAAGTTATAGAATATATAATAAAAAAAAGTACAATTTTAGATTTGTGCAACAAATGTTTCTATTTGCAATTTATATCACCAGCATTGAATAAAGCAATTGTTTTTTAAATGAACATATCATTTTCTATTAATGTATGAATGAGAAATGTTTACAACTTAAAATAAAATCATCTATTTCAGACAAGTTACAGATTTTCATATCTACATTTAAAATGTCAATACGTAGTTGATGAAGAAGTATTCTTAATAACCGCAAAGACTTTTTACTTGATTATTATGTTATTATTATCATTTTCCTAGGTACCGACATATCTATAACCATTTGAATTACAATTTTTTAATATATTTGTAAAACTATTAATACATAATGATAATATATAAATATAAATAAATAGCTGTATGGTAATTATATTATTACAAACTTTTAAGTAAATTATAGTTGCTTACAATAAGTAAAGATGTAACTTCCACCGTAATTTTTGCTTTTCATCAGAAAATTAGCTCTTATGACAGTTTAATGTCAGATTGTCTTAAAATATAATGAAGTACTCTAGAATTATAATCGTTTTGCAAAATAAAAACATTAAAAAAATGACATTTTCAATTTTCTAAAGTATCTTAATTTTTAAAATATTAATGTTACTACTTTAGAATAATGTAAAAAAAATTAAAAAAATCCTTATCCTGAAACAATAATGATATAAAAATCAGATGAGTATTCTGTTCTTAATATTATCAAATTTATTTATACTCTTATTAGAAATTGTACATTCCAAATTTCTTGATATGAAAAAATTAATTTTTTATATACAAGTACTATCATAAAAAATAATTAATATCCACAATATTTTTCATTTTTCACAACTATCATTAAATTTCATAAATGATCGATGAATATCACTAATTATAGTTCTATACTTTCTTTATTAACATTTCTAGCGCAATTATTAATAAAAAATAAAATAACTCAATCGGTCGCTTTCGACATTTAACGAGAAGTTCATATTAAATATTCATTGACACTGCGTAGACTTTTCCAACATTTCGATTAATTTACAAATTTATGTAATATAATTAATTATTTCTATACATTATTTTAAGTCTTGCATATATTCTTATAAAAGTGTCGATATGCTTTTTATATACAACAATAATGTGTAACATTTACACTTGACGTTAAATAAGTTCTTATTGTTGCTTATATTATACAGAAACAATAACAAAATCGTTAATTATCGTTTTATCTACGAAAATAATAATTACACTTAAACAATCATATTTATTCGTAACATTTTAGATTAATATTACAAAATTTATACATCTACATACTCAACATGTTTTATGAAGATAAAAAGATTTAACTATTTCCTAAATAATAATGATAAAATAAATTACATTAAGAAAGGGTAAGATTAAATTCTAATAGTCGACATATCAAAAATTTTTAGCACACAGAAAATGTCCTACGAATGGCTTTAAATAACTTCTAGTACTTAGGTAAAGTTTGACTTTTGAAAATGATTGAACAAGCTTGAAAATTTAAACCTCATAGATGCTGGAATTTAGATATTGATTATATGAAACCTTTAGGATGTATTAAAATTTTTATAGATTTTTAATTAATCATATCTTAAGTTTATTGTTTTATATTATATATTGTATATAATATAATATATATTAGTATATAACATATGTACTAATATAAATTAAAAAAAAAAAAATATATATATATATATATATATATACATATACTTATACGATAAATAGTAAATATGAAGTTATTTTAAATTTTTGTAATGAGCATGGTATGTGTAAAAAGATTTTTAAGTACTTTATTAAGTTGAAAAACAAACATTAAAAAATTTGTTAAATAATTAATAGTTAAATGTTATATACATGCCCAATACTAATTTTTCAAGTACACGATTCTGGTTATGATCTTCCTACGTAAAATAGTAATGAACTATTTACCGAGTCAGTTTTTAATAAAGTTGAAGGTTTAATTTTAAGTTCTTTTGTTTCTAAATAATATTAAATATTAAAAATTATATTATATATTATAAAGAAATATAAAAATGTGTCAAAAATTTAGATTTATATATTTATTTTATTAAAATTGAATGGACAATTTTTCAATCAAAAATGTTTGTAACAATAATTTATATTTATTTCCAAAATATACAACTGCGAATACAACATAATAGACATAAATATTTGAAATAATATTAATGATATTTCAATTGTATTTATGGGTAGTAATTAACATAATATTAGTATGTACTAATAAATTTAAATGATTAGATATTTTACCATGAAAGTAAACACTTTATTTTAATAATATTATTGGAGTTCAAGATATTTTTAAAGAATTTCTTATATAATTCATAGAATATTTCTATATTAAATTAATTTATATATTGATGATTCCTACATATTCCTGTGATTAATTACTTTCGCTTGAAATTAAAGTTAACCATAAGTGTAGCCAATTGAATTAAGAAAATATATAAACCTATTTTATTTAGTGTATTGAATGGGCTCGTGATAATTTGTATTATAAAACTACGAGTCTAAATTTACATAGATTGCGTTAATCCAAAGAGGCATGAATCGCTTAGGCCGTGAAGCATCATATGATCAAAGAATTCGAAAGCCAATCGAAAGAAGCAAGAAAGTTCAGGCAATCGTTCCCCTTGACAGACTTGAAAATCTTGTTTGTTCGCTTCAATTCGCCTTTTTCTTCCAGCCTTTCCTTCTTTGGCGGCTTGTCAATTTTCCTGGCACGCGTTCAATCGCCGATTGTTCACTGCTCAACTTTTGGGGCTGCAGAAAAACGACTATGAAGCCATCTTTTTATCTTTTGAGCGTCTTATTTCTCTTTGTTATTATTGCTGAACTGATACCTTTATTTCTACTATTTCATAAAATAACTGCCGTAAGAATATATACTCGCGAAAAAATTAATTTCATCAAGCTGAATTGCATATCCACAGTGAAAATTCGATAATATTTAATTATTACGTCATAATAGGATACACAAAAAAATATAGAAAATTATCACATTTAATACAAATATTAGAAGAATACAAATAAAGAATTTAAAATTTAATCAAATAATTAATATAGAGCATAAATTTAAACGGTATCTTACAATTTGTAATATAATTAAAATAATAAATTTTGAATATATTTTATTGCGGTGATTAATTTATTTTAACAATATCGATCATTTTATTTTTATATATATTCGTATATAAGTTTTTCAATAATTACAATACTACTCTTGTATTAATATGAAAAATAAAAAAATAAAAAATTAAAATGTTATTGTTGTACATACTTTAAATTCTCATATTTATAATACATACAATATCTTAGAAAATTTCTATAGTTTGCGTAGTCCTCTAAATCAAGGAAAAAACAAATTTGTTTACTTCGTTCGATTTGTCACTTTATAGACTAATCCATCATTCATCTTCACCGGTAAATATAAAAATAACACGAAAAAAAGAGAATAAAACCATATAACATATGTTATATTTATTTTAAAGTGGTTGTCCGCAGGTGTCGACGTATGAGCCTTGGATCTCTCGATCGCCGCTAGCATTGTTGGCGACGTGCCGATTGTACTTTTTTACGCCATAAAAAAGACTAGAAAGAAAATGAAACGTCGCGTAGATTCGCAAATCAAACGAATAGGAATCTTATTGCTGTGTTGCGAATCCTTTGAATACCATTAAATCTACTCTCAAATTAATACGTCTACGGAAATTATTATTTACAATACATTGATATTGAGAATACATAATTTTTGCAAACTTCTGATAGAATAATAATTTTTCTATTTTTAAAATTTCAGCAAATGTATAAGATAAAAATCACATTTCATAGTTTAACGTTACTTTACTAAAATTATTGAAAAGTTTATTTTAATCTTATAAAATTGGATATCCATGATAAGAAATGTTAGTATTGCAACGTAGCCAATGAATAATATTTTATTTAAACTTTGTAGAGAAAATTGTAAATTATTAACGTCCATAAATTAAGAATCCGTGAATTATAAAAATTATTTCAATAAATTTTTTATTTGTTTATTATCGATTTTATATGTTCAATAGATATCTAATTATATTAAATCTTTTGAAATAATAGAAATCCTAATGTTTTACTATTATGAACTTTAGTTATTATTATAAACTAACGTAAACTATTATTAATATTAATCTTTCATACTAAATTACTATGATAAATGATAAATAAGCTTATATACCATATGATTGATATATATAATGTATGGAAAGTATTAAACAAAATACTTCGAATATTAAATTCAATAAATTCAAATAAGTTTATTAAAATATTTTTTATATAAATGAATTCATTAATAATTTCTCAAATATAATTGAACGTTATTTTTTCTGTTGATTTCTATAATCAATTGTCAATCTAATGTACGGTCAAAATAATGTAAAATACTGTTATTTAATAAAAAATATTCATTATGCTTAAAAGCAGTTGTGTAACCCACATATATACAATCATACAAATTTTTAATCTAGTTCATATTTTTAACTTATTTTCATGATTATTTTCATTGTGTGTTATTATTTTTTATTATTTATTTTATTATTATTATTTCTAGTAGTAATAATTTTTTATTATATAAATTGTATATTTTATAAAGTAGAAAAAACTTATATTGATATTTCATTATTCTTCTAATATTAAATAAAGAAGTCATACCTTTATTACTGAACATACAAAAATGTAAATAAAAGATTATACACGTATAATAAGTTATTATACGCAGAAAAAATAAATTCAGGACTGCGTAGAAAATGTATTCCAAATCTAAATCTTGTTTTCCAAATCTAAAAATGTTGTGTTATTCTGTGAAATAATAACTATTTAATAAATTTCAAAGAGATTTTTTTTTCACAATTCCATAAAATCGATTATTTATAAGCCTATTATAACGTATAACAATAAAATAATTCCATATGGTATGTAATTTAATTTTCATAAAAAGGGCTGTGATGAAAAATGGTATAGACATCTATCAACGTTTTTAAAATAATTCAGAATGAAATTGTCAAAATATCCAAACATATTTTACAAAAAAAGAAAGATTAAAATATAGAATATTACAAAAGATAGATTAATCGCTAAGAGAAACAAAAATAAAAGAAAACGATACAAGGGTACAGACGTCTATACAGATACAATAAAGAACAGCAACTGAATAGAAGAGAAGCTAAAATTGGAAAAGCCACTTTACGAACAAAGCCAAAGGCGCAAGGTAGGCAAATGTTAGTTGTGGCCAACGGAAAACGAAGACAAAGAAAGAAAGAAAGCGACACGTCAGGTCTGAAAGTTGAAAAGCGCGCTTGCAAATAATACAGTTGTTCTCTACAACTAGTAAAAATGTTGTACTAATACGCATACAATTTTATTCGCTATTGCAGGCTTCTGTGTGGTTCAAAGGCCCCGCCAGTCGCCTCAGTATATCCGCGAGGGTAAAGGCAAAAGGGTGAGTACGAGTCGTAACATGTCCGATTTCTTCTTGGCCCTTCCGGCTGTGTAAACGTGCACGTTCCCGCATTTTTTTTTCCCGACTCGGCAGCCATCCTTCCAAGGCGACGAAGCGAAAAATCAGCTCCGATTCGTCTTTTTATACACTCGCCCCACTGGCCTTTTCCATATGTATCTACTGGGATTACTCGGATACATCTTGCTTTTCAGTACGAATAGCCCTATGCATGGTAGCATGCATTTTTCGTAATACAAACTTCGTTCCTGGAAAGTCTTTACAAAGTTCATTAATCCGATTGAAAGATTATTTTTGCAACCATTTTTTTTTTTTTTTTTTTTTTTTTTTTTTTTTTTTTTTTTTTTTTTTTTTTTTTTATAGAGTCTAATAGTAAACTTATAATGATCCTTGTGAATACTAATGATCCTTGCCGCCCGTTACTCCGTTCTCTCAATTATCATAGACCTAGATCATTAAAATGCTTGCTGATATTAAAATGACTAGGTCATATGTGCGCACAGACTAATACTTTTACCTTTTTAACAACAGCTTTACCGAGATGACGAGCCGGAGTGCTCCGAGCTTTGCCAGTGCAGCGAGGGCGAAATCCTCACCTGTAACACGATCTGCGTAGAGTCGTCGCCCTGCAAAACCGACTTCGCATTCTACAATCACGCGGCCCCGGCTTATCAGGCTTACCGGGGTCGCTGCCTCTGCTACAGTGGCCGCTTCATATGCATGCGGCCCTCCCCCGGTAAGCACAACGGATAACTGCGTAAACGAGGAAAAGGGAGTCACACGTGCCACTGCGCTCTAATTAGTATTTATTATTCCCGCGGCCTTTGACGTCAAGTGCCCGACTGCTATATTTTTAGTTCCTTTAGAGCGCCTTCGGTAAAGTCGGCCTTTTAAATTGGCTGGCGCCGCAATGGCCTACTTCGATTCCATGTGCATTGATTGTATGTTAAAGTTGAGTCGGCTTAATTGACACTTCGAGATACGGCAAACGCATACGTACTATTGCGAAATACCTAATGGTTAACTTGCTCGTTGAGTGTGGTGCTCAATTTATTACTGTTTCTAATTTAAAAACTTTGATATACTGCTAATGTGATTGGATTTTCCAGGGCTTTTTATTGTAAATTACAAATGATGCGAAAATTAACGACATTATAACTTACTTAAAAACTAATTTAATTTATATTTGTCATAATAGTCATGGTTAATGTAATATTTAGTTATTATTTAATAATACATTATTTACTTAATCTTATTAACGATTGCTGTAATAATTAAGTAATACTATATTCAAAGCATAATTTATAGATAAGTCATAAATGGATGAGAATAATTTTTATGAGATTGATTATAAAACTACTCGATCGAGTGCAAACTCAAAAATTGAATTCGTAATCAAATTATGTTTTTTGTCTAATATGCTTATTTGAAAAATATTATTTCTTATCTTGTTTCTATTCTTACACAATATATACATAAGATAAGATTATCTTATAAATTTTTGTTTATTATAAAAATTATATACCAATTGAATTCTTATAAAATTAAATTATGCTACTTTATATAGAATATCTTTTAAAATACGAAAATTCAATTGATTTATCCATTTTATTTCATTCTTATTGCCAAAAAATTATATTTACATAATTATTAGAACTATGAATTACAAAAACAATAAAATATGAATATTTAAATGTAAAAATAGAAACAATAACCATAGATTGAAATAAAAATGAATTCATTATCTTTCAAATTATTTTCTATCAATTGCATTCCCTATGATAGCCGAAGTATAATACAAATAATCTAAGTTAACCGTAATTTTTTACTGTACACTTACTGCGAATAATATCTTGATTAAAATACCAACAATTATTTTAATTAAATTCGAAACTTAACTAATAAAATAAAAATAGCATATGTATAAATTTGAATTTGAATTTATTTAAATCGTTAAGAATGATCGAGTTATTTTTCAAAAATTTTGACAGATGCGTATAATATTCCACACGGAATCTTCATGTTTCTCGGCTACAGTGAAACAGACGAAAATCTGCTGAAACCTCACAATAACCTTACAGTAGTGGATGCTGTATCTTCTCTCGATAACTTTATGCGTGAGGAAGTTAATAATCAGGTATAAATTTTGTATTTTAAGTGTAGTTCTTTGCATGCATACTTAATGTACTTTTTAATATTCTAATAAAAAATTGTACAAAAATAATTGTATTTTATTCATTCGTTTTAAATTCTGATATTAAAGCATCACAAACTTGTAACAGTTATAAGGTCCTTCAAAGATCTATACATTAAAAAAAAAATGTAATTTATAAATCTTCGTAAATATTAAATAGACAATCTATTTAATAGAAGCCATCGTAATTATTATTCAGTACAGAATAAATAGCGTTTTTAAATTTTTAGTAATTTTCATTACATCTTGACAGCTTCACTTGTGTTATATATTTAGAATATTTTATAGTACTGTTAATTTATTGAATTATATTAAATTATATTTCATTTTTCACCTAGACAATATGCACACTTTTTCTCTACAACGTCACAAAGGAAAATGTGATTGCTGTTGCTCGGCTAATAACGGATAATAAATCGGCCAGCAATATCTCACAGACACAAACATTACAGTATCTTCTACGCGTAAAGGTGAGTATTCGTTCAAAAATTCAATTATAAAAATTATTTAAAATATAATTTTTTAATATAATATTACACATATTTTATGTGCGTTACTATGTGTGTGTGTGTGTGTGTGTGTATTTTGTGTGTAATTAAAATTTTTAAATTATATGAGAATTATATAAGAAAAGAAACTATTGTTGATCAAACAAAAAGGAGGTCGATTTTCGTTAGAATTGCAGCATAAATTGTCAACTCTGTAAAAACTTGTAATTCTTCTCATAATATAAATTATATTATATAGACTAACGATTTATTTTTCTGGATCGTGTTTGTGTTTCCTTAGATCTTGTTAAAAAATTAAAATACATATCTAGAATAATATAATTAAAAGAAATAATGCATAAATTCCAACGAATTTTTTTTTATTATAACTATCGGGACCATCTATTAACTAAAAATGATTTAAAATTATCAACCAGAATTTAATTATTTAAAGTTTAGTGTATTTATTTTTAAATTAATATAAAATAAAAACAGTCACTTAAAAATCGATTTAATAATTTTTTTTTTTGTTTCATGAAGAAAAGTTTTAACTAAAAAATCTCATCAATACGATAACAACAACCAAACTGTCATGAGAAAAAATGGTTGCTTTTTCAAACTACTCTTGATAAAATCATCTATATGAACATAATGAGTCAATACCTATCGCATCCTCTTATCATTCATTTATTTATATTTTTCGTTCTTTGAATATACATTTGACATTCGTTTATTGTGAGAATCGAAATTTTTCTCATTCATGAATAATTGACATGCGTGCGTTTTTACTTGAATTTCCTGACTATTTAATTACTCAGTAGGTCACAAATTAATATATTTTATAACTTACATAGTATTTTCTTATTATGTATTTAGTCATAAGTACTTGATCATACTTAAATTAATTTTCGAGCAGTGTAACTACTTTAATAAATGAATAGTCTCTACAATGAAAATACAACATACAAAACCTTACAGCACATATATATATATAACGATTTAAAATATTTTATACAGATTTCATTGATTTTTTCACAAAGTACAATTATTTTTATGCTGCTGCCATGTATGTTTTTTTACGTTTGGGAATATTTTTAACGTTTAATGAATTTAAAGTATGTTCAACTATTTGCATTGAAAAAAACTGTTAAAAAGCTTTTGTATATTATTAGTTCCCTGGGACTTTTAGAAACTTTATCAAATTATATATTTAAAGCATTTTCAATGATACGTATTAAATATCCTGTAAGTACTGTATCATTTGACACTATATTTCAAGATATATTATTGTAAAAAGTATTAAAATTATATCGATCGAAAGTACATAATTTATATTTTATCAATGCTTTCTCTTTAATATTTAAACTTCGTAAAATAAATAAAAACCTATTATAACTTCAAGTTCTCTATTTTTATTTTGTATTTTATATTATTGTGCCCGATAAAATTTCAACTTTCAATAAGAAAATTAATTATAATATTAATTTAGAATATTTTAAATTATAATAATCGAATTCTCAATTACAAACTAATTAATTACACGCCAAGTAATCCAATTAATATCGTCTATTTGCTGTGATTATAAGACATTAGATAACTATCGATAAACAAGTCAGTCTTTTTAACTCTTATAACATTGATTATTAATTTAATATATCAATTGTTTACTTAATAATTCAAAGAAAAAAACTCTACGCAATCTTATCATAGGTCGAAAAATCTATATAATATTAACCACGTTTTCATCTAATAATAGCCGTTATGAAAGCAACTTATATAACTATATATAGCTATACATACATATATATATATATATATATATATATATATATATATATATATATTAGATAGCTTGTGTGAATATGTGTACATATACTGTAAAAGAATTAAAAGTTATTTATATATATACAATCTTACTTGGACAACTGCTGACAATTATTCTTTACTTTCTTAAAAATTTAATATTTGTATTAAATATCATATAAGAATAATAGAATTGTAGAATGATAAAACGTGATGAGATTCATACAATACATATTTGTAATTATATATTGTACTAAATACAATAAAAATATTATGCCTATAAAATGATCCAATAATTAGTCATATTATTTACATAAACGCACAGAATTTAAGATATTCTTCCTCATTACATTATATATATATATATATATATCAAGTTTTTTCACAAAAATCAAGAACGTAATGTAATTTTCATATATTTCAAATATTTTTTATATATTTATTACCAATAAAATGAATTTATTAATTATAATTAATTTATAATGCCTTTGTTAATCTTTTTCATTTTTTGCCTCGTCTATATATTAGTATTCTCTATCATAACTTTAAGCTATACAGTAAATTTTGATTAAAACGTTGTAGCTATCGTTTCAGCTAAATTTTTTATTACCAAATTTCTTTTTCAACTTCAGTGATTAATTGATTGACCCAAATATCGTACTATATAAACAAAAATCAAAAATAAATTATTTTTTAATAAAAATACTTTATATTTTATTCTAAAATAATAATTATAATAATAAACGTAATAATAAATATAATAATAAATCTAAATCTAATAACACAAAATAAAAGATTTAAAATATTGCTACAAACTGTTAAAAGTAAAAAATTTGGTTAATACTTTGTAAAAATTTTACAGTACATTTATAATATTTTATTATTTTAAATCATTATTTAAAATAAACTGTAATTTAATTAATATAAAATTAATATAAATTGACTATCAATTAAAAGATTGAACTACAAAATCTTTGCAATAAAAAGTGAATAAAGTAAAAAAGCCTGTTTAAAAATTTTTTATAATTTTTTTTAGTAGTTGCATAAACTAAAATTTCAGAAAGTTTTTAGTGTTTCGTTTAATACATGTTTTTTCATTATAATTAATTATCTCTTTTTCAATAAATATTACAATTCAGTATTGTTAAAATAAGCGTCTGATCTTGGAATTTGTTTATTTTTGAAAGAGAGCTTTCATGTTCTAATGTTCTGTGTATGATAAACGCGTAAAGTTGCACCACATCTTAAGGATTCAAAGGAATCAGTGATCTCCTGTAAAACGAAGGGATTCTTATATTAAAGATCTGCTATCTGCTCATATTGCTAGAATCAATGTTATTATCTTATTCAGTATCGTTAGCTGTCCCATTATCATTCCATGAAAATGATGGATCCTTTGGCTTTCCTCGAGTTTCAGAATTCAGATTCTTTGATTTTTTCCTTGGAATGCATATTATTGTATTTATTATTGTATGATATATTTTTTTTATATGCATATTTTTTTTTTACACTATCTATATTTCAAATCTATTAAAAGAGATAATTATCTATTTCCAGTTTCCTTAATTCTTCACCTTAATTGTTAAATAATCTCTCTATTTATTAATCCACATATTAAATAATACTAATTATTATTTCTTATTCATTTCGAAATTTCATTCAATGACAAAATTTCTATTTTAACTTTTACATTTAAAACTTATAAGTTTTATTTCAGATATTTATTCTTGGTTGATACATTAGTTTAAATAATTTTAGTTCTTAAATTTTCATTCACTGTACGTTAAATATCACTTTTTACTAATCCATATTCTTTTATTTGTATTATTTGTATTATATGTATTTATTTTTTATAACATCTGTTCTTCATTCTTTATAATTTCTCAAATATGATTTTATTATGAATTCAAATAAATTTCTATAATGGAATAAAGTTTAATATTCTCAATTTTATTATTCTGTTACCCATGTCCTCGAATCATTAGAGTCGCTTGGAAAAGTTTTAATACTAATTTAATTCTATTATGTAGTAAGTATTTATCAGATTGTATTTATATACACTATTATTGTCTGTTAATAAAATAATATCATTTCTTATTATCATCTTAAATTACCATTATTTTGCTTATTATATGTTTTTAAACTATATTTATCATATACATTATATATCTTCCTACAAAATATTATGATTCAAAACATTATTATAGCCTCAAGACATTGTATGCGTTTCTTTTTTTGTGACTACTCTAAATGCTTTTACTGTAAAGAAACTATGATATTTGAGAAATTTCTATTTTTATTCTCCATTGATTTCTATTTAATAATATTTAGTAATATTGATGATTATATTTAGTAAATGAAGGATCTACTTCGATTGACAGCAATACAAAACTGCGTTATCTATATTAAATATATATATATATATATATATATATATATATAGATAATTTATAGTATTACGAATTTCAATTACCAGTTTTGAATTTTAATAAACTATCCACTGCTACATTATACATTTTTATTTAAAAGTTGATAATTCGTATTCCCTCTTAAATCCATTATGAATTGATTATAATGATTTTTTTCGTTACATTTTGAATAGATGATGACCGCAAGTATTTCACATTCTTTATAAAGTATCACTGTAATATATAATACTAAATCTTCTTCATACCAACTTAAAGAAAATTAAATCTTTAATATAAAAACATCTTTAACAATATGACATTTCAATAAGATCCATCAACACAAATAACTCATGCGATATTACGTTTTCAGCTCGATGTAAAAATTACTTACATATAACACACGACGGATTAAAAAAATCTCATTGAAACTCTTCCACATGATGCATACCCATTTTATTTAAGGTTGAGGGTGTGATATATGAAAGAGCTCCCCCAATATAAGTGCCGCATGCGGTTAGTCGTGGGGTCGGTAAGTCCACTTGATTGGCCCGAAATCTGACCTCGACTACTACGACGTGCCTTCTCGGGCTGCCGGGTTGATCGAAAAAGACGCCAGACCAAGAACGAGGCAATAAATGAAATGAGCTTCTCTAATCTCCAATAGGCTCCATCCACATTTCTTCCACAACTATATTCCACATCGCGATTTCATTTCCCTCTATCTCTTTATATCTACTTCTCTCTTGCCTCGATTTCTATAGGGTCATCGTT